TTTAATCCATATAGTAACTCTATGAAATAGGTATCATGATGAGGAGGAGGACACTTTTATAAATAAGGAAATGGAGGCATGGAGCTAGAAAGTATTAAAGCCAGTATTCAAACCCAGACATTTGGGCTCAAGAATCAGAGAATCAGTCAATGTTCCTTTTTTTTTTTCTGAAGACAGGATCTTGCTCCACTGTTGCCCAGGCTAGGGTACAGTGGCATCATAGCTCACTGCAACCTCCAACTCCTGAGTTCAAGTGATCCTCCTGCCTCAGCCTACCTAAGTAGCTGGAACTACAGGGTGGTGCAACCACCATGCCTCGATGATTTTTCTATTTTTTGAAGAGGCAGAGTCTCACTGTGTTACTCAGGCTTAGTCACTGTTTTTAATCACTGTACCATGCTGTCCTCATTACAGTTGGCCAATTTCTAGTGAGGTCGGACATCTTAATGTGTTTACTAGCCAATTCCTCTCTTAGTTTAGGTTCCTCCAAAAGCCCCAAAGACAAGAACTTGGTACAAGTAGTTTATTTTTGGAGATATTTCCAGGAAACATAGTGAGTGGTTGGGGAAGTGAGAGAGAAAAGAGTGGAAAGCCAGGAAAGCAGATGTTGATGAATAGGATACCAGTGTGGGCATCTGGGGCTTAGTCTCACTGGGACTTGGATGTTCTGAGACGTTTCATCAGACATGCCTCAGAATTGTTCCTGAGGGGCAAGGGAGCTGGAGTATCCACCCAGCCACTCCTGGAACAGAAATTCCCCAGCCCCAAGGACAGAGAACACCCTCAGGCAAAGAGACTCAGGCAGCACCAGGATATACAGGAACTGTCTGCAGGTGACCTCCGTGGTGGGCTGATGGGAAATGGGCAGGGTACCTATAATGTCTGCCATGCTTTTGTAACAGACTCCAAAACACTGTGGCTATAACAAGAAAGTCTTTCTTTCACATGCAATAGTCCAGAGGTAGGTAGATAGCGCAGGAGCAGCGGGGCAGTTCTGCTGCCTGAGATCCAGGAGATCACACTAGAACCCAGATTCTTCCTATCTTGCTTCACTACTAGGGCAGAGGTTCCTAAACTTTTCCTGTTCACGGCACCCTTAGTGACTTAAGTGTTTTTCATGGAGCCCCTAAGCCAAAAACAAAAAAAAAACCCGAAACAAAGAAACCTAACAATTCCATCTATTAAATAATTAGCTCTGAACAACTAATTAAGCACCATACTTATGTCCTAACAACATAGTTTTCCTTGGACACTGAGCAATTTATCAAGCCTTGAAACCGGATCGGAAACCACCAGTCTCGAATCCATTTTCACAACACATCAAGAATTTTCCAATCTAATGTTGAAACTGTGAACTAGCTCAACTAGCAATTTTGTAGGACAAATGTCACTTTGTTTTTCTCAAAATTTTAAGATATCCCACAGCACCCCTATGAGTTCACTGTGGCACCCTGGGGCACTTCATGCACAGTTTTTGGAGCCACAGCACTAGGATGTTGTCCTTACCCATGGTCACCACATTTCAGCTCCTAAGAAAGGGGAAAGGCAGAAATGAAAGGCTGGTTCCATTTGATAATGGGACCTAAAAATTGTGCCTTGCTTTTCCTGCTAAGATTCCATTGGCCAGAACATAATCACATGGTCATAGAGTCACGTGGTTGCAAGGGGACCTGGGAAATGTAGTCTCCAACTAAGCTGCAATGGATCCAGGTAGAACTTGGAAGTCTATGTTACTAAAAGCAAGAAGTTAATTGAAATTGTTGTCTGTCACCTTCTGGGATATTAGCCTTTTGATTCTGATAAAAATCCCAAATATTTTCTCCTATGTGTCACATGTCTATTAACTTTATTTATGATAGCTCTGTCATACAAAGATTTTAAATTCTGAAGTACTCAAATTTATCAGCCTTTTCTTTTGTTGCTTTTGTGTTTTGTATCTTGTTTAACAAGGTATTTGTGCCCAGGCAGTGCAATGGCTGATACCTGCAATGTTAGCATTTTGGGAGGCCACGATGTGAGGATCACTTGAGGCCAGGAGTTTGAGACCAGCCTGGGCAACATAGTGGGACCACCCCCCGACCCTGGTCTCTATAAAAAAAAAAATTTTTTTTTTAATTAGCCAGTCATAGTGGTACACACCTATAGTCCCAGCTACTCAGGAGGCTGAGGCTGGAGGATGATGATGCCACTGCACTCCAGCCTGGGCAACAGAGTAAGAC